TTTTGTCTTTACTTCGTCCATCATCGAAAATAAATCGATATTAAAAAGGGTTTCGTCTCGCTCGTATGTCTCAACGTGTTTTGAAATGATTGCCCATTCAAAACACGATAAGAAGGTTCATTGCTTACCCGTGTTGATAAAATTTGCTGATTTTCCCCGAATAATCTTTTCGACCATTTCGAAGGAGATACTAGATGCAAGTCATTGTAATGACATTTCGCTGATGGTAAATCATAAGCTCATTTTGATAATCAATGATAAAGCCCATTTTCATCTCAGTGGCATGGTAAATCAACAGAATTGTCGTTATTAAACTCTTGAAAATCCACGAGAAAGGCACGAAATCCCACTGCAGGACCCAACATTGACAGAGCAATGCTGGAATGAATGGAGACAAATGTACATGAACACCTTTAGAAATGAATCAATAAAAACGAACACATGAGGGAGCTTGTTTTCACACTTGATTTTTTCAAATGCTAATTTAACACGAACGCATTGATGTCGATAAAACGTTTTTGAAGCTAAAATTAATGATGACGTGAATTTTTCAAAAACTTCCGTCCTCTCTACCTCACCCTGTAAATATCGTATTGTACTTGGTGTTATGAATAAGTGAGTGATCTCCCCTTGTTTCCTTACTCTTCTCTTTGAGAGAGATATTTCTATACACTGGGACCATAAAAGGACACTATACGTGAACCTTGTATTCGCACTTGAATAAAGCTTTCTTTTTATAACCTTGTAAATAAACATTGCCAAGAGAGTGAAACGGTGTCAAAATAATAGTGGTGTTAAGGAAAAAAATGTACTGACACACTGTTCTTCTCTTCTTCTTTTTTGCAGGGGGGAGGGCATGAAGTTTAAAGTTTACCTAACTTTCAAAAGTGGAATATTTGTCTGAATCTAGCTTTTGTTATGTTCCGATAAAACTGTTCAAACAAACCTGTTAAAACAAACCAATTAAAACAAACCTGTTAAAACAAACCAATTAAAACAAACCAATTAAAACAAACCTGTTCAAATAAACTTGTTCAAACAAACCTGTTAAAACAAACCTGTTCAAACAAACCTGTTAAAACAAACCAATTAAAACAAACCAATTAAAACAAACCTGTTAAAACAAACCAATTAAAACAAACCTGTTCAAAAAAACCTGTTAAAACAAACCAATTAAAACAAACCTGTTAAAATAAACCAATTAAAACAAACCAATTAAAACAAACCAATTAAAACAAACCAATTAAAACAAACCTGTACTCTCAGACACATACAATTGTGCATCTTCATATACATCATTCTACGCCTGACAAACACTATTTAACGCAATGCAATAAGAGCTGTGAATAGTCTAAGTAAAAGTTGTCAGGTGTCGTTCTATCATTTCGTATATTTTCAATGAGCGACTGGTGTGGTAAGGAAGTTGTTATCAGGCCATGCTGTGTAGTATGGGCATTATGTGGGCAGACATTATTCTGCTGAAAATAAAATAACGTCTTCCATTTGCAAGAATTGCCGCATAATGGAGTCGAAACATTTTCTGATTGTGCATAGTGGTGTTCAACGTTTCCTCCACTAAAACAAAGAGCAATAAGTTGAAACTTACGGAATCCACGTATTGATAGCCGGGGTTTGGGGTGCGTGTCATGGGCTAATCAACTGCAGAATGACGCTCCCGGATCTATGACGCCAAGGAGCATCACTTCTTCCTCTTCTTGTCGTTCGTTCTCAAGCTGCTTTTCTTTTTGCTGTTCATTCTTATGGTGATTTTTCGAAGCTTAGATGTGGCACAGGGCCGAAAGTATGGGGCGCCCAGTGACGATCGAACTCACTATTCAGTCGTAATTACTCTAGCGAGACAAGCTCGCTAACCATTACACCACGTCGAAGTACCCACTGATTTTCCAAGCCTAGCTATGGCACAAGGATCGAACTCACTACTCAGGCGTAATTGTTCTAGCGAGACAAGTTTGCTAACCATTGCACCCCCTGGAGGTACCCTTGCCGTTCGTTCTTAGTCTGCACTTCGTTCTCTCTCTCTTTCTCTTTCTCTCTCTCTCTCTCTCTCTCTCTTTCTCTCTCTCTCTACCCACCCCTTTCTTACTGATCTGTCGTTCTTTGCTCAACCTGCCTTTCGTTTTATCGTCTGTTGCCAGTCTGCACATCGTTGTGTCTTTCTCCCTCTGCCTACTACTCTTTTAACGTTGTGTCTTTCTTCCTCTGCCTATTACTCTTTTAACGTTGTGCCTTTCTCCCTCTGCCTACTACTCTTTTAACGTTGTGTCTTTTCTCCTCTGCCTACTACTCTTTTAACGTTGTGTCTTTCTTCCCTCTGCCTATTACTCTTTTAACGTTGTGCCTTTTCCTCTGCCTACTACCTTTAACGTTGTGTCTTTCTCCTCTGCCTACTACTCTTTTTTAACGTTGTGTCTTTTCTCCTCTGCCTACTACTCTTTTTTAACGTTGTGTCTTTCTTCCTCTGCCTACTACTCTTTTAACGTTGTGCCTTTCTCCCTCTGCCTACTACTCTTTTAACGTTGTGTCTTTCTCCCTCTGCCTACTACTCTTTTAACGTTGTGTCTTTCTTCCTCTGCCTATTACTCTTTTAACGTTGTGCCTTTCTCCCTCTGCCTACTACTCTTTTAACGTTGTGTCTTTCTCCCTCTGCCTACTACTCTTTTAACGTTGTGTCTTTCTCCCTCTGCCTACTACTCTTTTAACGTTGTGTCTTTCTTCCTCTGCCTACTACTCTTTTAACGTTGTGCCTTTCTCCCTCTGCCTACTACTCTTTTAACGTTGTGTCTTTCTCCCTCTGCCTACTACTCTTTTAACGTTGTGTCTTTCTTCCTCTGCCTATTACTCTTTTAACGTTGTGCCTTTCTCCCTCTGCCTACTACTCTTTTTTAACGTTGTGTCTTTTCCTCTGCCTACTACTCTTTTTTAACGTTGTGTCTTTTTCCCTCCGCTCTACTTCTTTTTTTAACGTTGTGTCTTTTCTTCCTCTGCCTACTACTCTTTTAACGTTGTGTCTTTCTTCCTCTGCCTACTACTCTTTTAACGTTGTGCCTTTCTCCCTCTGCCTACTACTCTTTTAACGTTCATTTTCTGCTCATTTTTCTTTCTCTAGTTTCCTTTCTAAGTTTTCTTTTCTATCGTTCGCTGTTCCTCTGCACTTTCGTAAAATCACATTTTTCGAAATCTTTTTTACATCGTTTTTTTTTACATCTTTTGTGTTCATTATATTAATATCACTTTTAATTGCTTTCTTGTAAATTTGTTGCCAGATTTGATTATTATTATTATTATTATTATTATTATTTCTGTTTTTCGTACCTCTTCAATTATTTCTCTTCACTCTCAGCCATTGTTTTCTCTCTCTCTTTTCTTCACTCTCATACTCATCCTCTTTTCAACTCTTCTCTCTCTACTCCCTCATTTCTTTCACTCATTTTCATCCCTTTTCTTTTTTCTTCTCTCTTTTCTTCACCTCATATACTCATCCTCTTTTTCACTGTCTTTTTCACCACTCTCTCATTTCTTCAACTCGTATATTTTCATCCCTTTCTTTTCTCTCCCTCCCTCTTTCTTCACCTCATACTCATCCTCTTTTCACTCTTCTTTCATTCTCTCTCATTTCTTCACTCTCGTATTTTCATCCTCTTTTCTTTTTCTCTCTCTCTTTTCTCTTCACTCATCTCCATCCCTTTTTTTCACTCTCTCTTTTCTCTACCACTCTCTCATTTCTTCACTCTCGTATTTTCATCCTCTTTTTTCTCTTCTCCCTCTCTCTTTTTTCACTCTTCATACTCATCCTCTTTTTTCACTCTCTTTCTCTCTCTCATTTCTTCACTCTCGTATTTTCATCCTCTTTTCTTTTCTCTCCCTCTCTCTCTTTTCTTCACTCTCATACTCATCCTCTTTTTCACTCTCTCTTTCTCTCTCTACCACTCTCTCTCATTTCTTCACTCTCGTATTTTCATCCTCTTTTCTTTTCTCTCCCTCTCTCTCTTTTCTTCACACTCATACTCATCCTCTTTTTCACTCTCTCTTTCTCTCTGTACCACTCTCTCTCATTTCTTCACTCTCATATTTTCATCCTCTTTTCTTTTCTCTCCCTCTCTCTATTTTCTTCACTCTCATACTCATCCTCTTTCAAGCACTTTCTCTCTTTCTCTCCCCATCACACTCTCTCTCTCTTTTCTTCGCTTTCGTACTCTCATCTTCTTTTTTCTCACTAACTCTTACTGTCTCTGTATCCCTCTCTCTCTCTTTTCTTCACTCTCGTAAACTTTTTCTCTCTCTCTCTCATTCTCTGTCTCTCTCTTTTCACTCTGGTACTCATCCTCTGTTTTCTCTCTCTTTCACTCTCTCTCTCTCTCTCTCTGCTTCACTTTCCTACTCTTATTCTTTTTTCTCTCTCTTTTACTCTTTCTTTATTTCTCTTTTCTTCACTCTGTACTCTTTTTTCTCTCTATTTGTCTCTCTCTTTCTCACTGTCTTTCTTCTTTACTACTCTCATTCACTTTTCCTCTCTCTCTCACACACACACTCTTACTCCCACTCCCACTCTCTCTTTTTTCTTCACTCTCCTATTCTTATACCCTCTCTCTCTCTCCCTCTCTCTCTTTCTCTCTGTCTCTCTCCCACTCTCACTCCAATTCTCTCTCTCGTACTCTTATCCTCTTGCATCTTTTTTTTTTTTTTTCTTTTCTTCTTCTACATATTGGTTTTTCTCTCTGGATCTGCACTTTGACCTTCCTCTTCTTTATTCCACGTCTTTCTTTCTTTTCCCTCCTATTTTCTTTTTTTCTTTTCTATTTACTCTTTCTTCTTTTATTTCTCCTTTCATTAAGACCCACCCAGCCCTCTCTGTGCTTTTTTTTTTTTTCAATATCTTTCTCACTATTCTCTTTCCCTCGCTTAAACTCTTCGTTTTGTTCCTACTCCTCCTCCTACTCCCCGTCCTCCTCCTCCTACTACTCCTCCTCCTCCTCCTATCATTAATTTCTACCCCTTGCTAAACTCGCCCCCCTCTTTCTTTACACAGACTCTTTTATCTATCTTTGATGTTTTTTGATATGTCACATCGTGTCGGGTCCGAAGTGAACTGTCTAATCAGTTTTCAATGAGAGAACAAAAAAAAAAAAAAAAAAAAGCTTAAGGGACAGGTGGATGTTAAAGTGGCATCGCTCCATTGACTAACGGGGCCAGTAAATATTCGGTCAAGTTGAAAGCGAGCCCCTGAGGGGAACAGACACTGGCCCTTCAGACGACCCTGAGAGCCTACCCACAATCTGTAGATTGTATCGCCCACCGGAATTCGGACCAAGGAACAAATATTAAAGGACTTTGAAAAGTGGTCAACCTTAACTGCTTTTACTTATTTTTTTTATTCGTATTTATAAAGCAATGTTTTCTGTAAATACGTACACTTGTGTGTGAGTAGACGTGTAGAAAAGGCACACACGTTATTTACCCCTCTCTCTTTATCTCTCTATCTATTTCTCTCTGTGTCTCTGTCTCTCTCTCTCTCTCTCTCTCTCTCTCTCTCTCTATCTATCTATCTATCTATCGCTTAAACCTTAGGTAGCGCTTTTCTTTGGAAGTACCTATATATTGGGTTGGTGCATAATTATCAGGTGTTTTTTGTAGGCGAGTTAGTTGTTAATGGACATTCCTGTTTTGTTTACTTTTTTTACTAAAAATATTATTTTATTTTCAGGTCATAAAAATGTGTGTCGATAATCATACCCTCTGGAATAATCATTTAAAAATGTTATTGTTGAATTATTATGTTTCTTTTTTCATGATAAATATTGTTTAAAAAACGCCTGATAATTATGCACCAACCCAATACTATATAAGCACATCCAAAAATTCATTGAAAAAAAAGCATACCATGATGAAAAAAGTCCCAGACGTGATAAAAAATATTTATGTTATTCTTAAGGGTATTTTTAATTATTTTATTAAATTGGTTTAATCCTTTGTAGAACGTTCGAAATTTTGCTTAGAAATCTTGTTTTTTTTTTGGGGGGGGGCGTCAGTAAGTAGGCCAAAAATTAGTATAGGAATTTTTAGCGTCTTTTTTAGGTAAAAATCACATATATCATTCTATATCAGGAACAATTTTAGGAGAAAGAAAAAGTATGACAAATAGAAAAAGTTTTCATTCGACGCGTTTCGTTCTTCGGACTTCATCGGACTAAATTTGTTTCCGTTGATGCGACTACGAATGCGCAAGAACGAGAAACACTTGGATTTTTACATTTAAAAATAAATTTTTTTATAAAGGACGTTTCATTAAGACGGATAATATATAAAGGGTGTTTCATTAAGACGGATCAAAGTCAGCAGTAAATAAATCAGTTTTATTGGTGAAAATTTATTTATTTCTCTATTGGGTCATGTTATTTAAATCATGGCAATTATGGCATGTATGTATGAAAAATAATATCAACAAAATGTCCGCTAAATCTGAAAGAGAAAGAAAAAATCATTAGGCGCTTAAACTTAATTCACATTTAAAATTGGTCCAAGTTATTGGAACACCCTTTATGTGTTTTTTGGATATATAATCTAGCCAATTTCATTTATATCTATTTTTCACTTTTTGTAACGACATTGACAACAATTTTCTCTGTCGTTTATTCGTGCGCATGTGCAGTCGCCACAACGTAAACATAAGCTTAGTTCAATGAAATCCTAAAGGTCGAAACGCCTTACACGAAAACTTTTCACTTCGTCATATATATATATATATTACGAAGAAGATAAACCGCAAACCTTTTTGGTTGAAATGTGGATATTTTATTTTAAAATATATATTATACTCTATTTTCCATAATTCTGCTACACGTGTTTCTTGTTCCGCGAAATTCCTCAAGAAAAAAGTAGATATTTCCACATATTATAAAAAGTAATTTTTTGCGTGGTAGTGATTCAAATTTCTTTCTTGAACTAGACATTTGAATCACTACCACGCAAAAAATTCATACTGTAATTAGAAAAAAATTAACAAAAAATATAGAAAATTAAATAATAACTTAGTTTGGTAGAAAATATAAATATATCTAGTAAAAAGATTACTGATAAACTAAAAAAAATTAGTGATAGGATCAACAAACTTACCACAAAGGAATGTTACATGACTATCAAGGTCCACACACCTGACTTTGAAAACAAATCCTACCACTAGGATTATAAATCCTACTAAGCCTGAGATTGGTAGAATAAGTAAAATAATCCTCGGAAGGGTAAATAAACAAATCAAGGAGTACCTTGGATTGGAACTTTTTACATCTGCTTTAAAATGTGCCACTGTGTATTCGTATTTATCGAAGGATGAATGTAACATCATTATGAATGCAAAAAAAAAAATCAGTTCTTATTCATAACAAGGAACAGTGGATGAAAAATAACTCTGGAAACCATTTTGATATTACAATGGGATCATTGGACTCTACGATTAGTCCGATCATCTTGGATTGTTTATTTTATAGAATCTTACTGCTCACTATGACATCAGTATAGAAGATATAGGATCATATAGGGATGATGGCCTTATGGTTGTGAGGAATTCAATTAACTTCAAAATTGACAAAATTAAAAAAACTAATACACAGAGAGTTTAAAAGCCTAAATTTAAAAGTTACTATCAATAGAAATTTAATGACGGTAAACTTCCTCGATGTAACATTAGGTTTAATCAGCAATATATGCCAACCATATAAGAAAACAAATACTAGTCCTTTATATATTCACCCGAAGTCTAATCATCTTCCATCTATAATAAAGCACTTAACCTCATCCATAGAATGTAGAATTAGTATTAACACTGCTAACGAAGATATATTTTATAAACACAGCAATTTTTATAATAATTCTTTAAAACATAGTGGCTATAAATGGCCCTATATTAAATACAGAAAAGATAATAATAATAACCGGAGAAAAAATACATATAGAAAAAAGCATTTGATACACCCGCCTTTTAACCAAATGGTTAGCACTAAGTTAGGACAAAGTTTTCTTGCTTTGATTGAAAAAAAAATTTCAAGTAATAATCCTCTTAGTAAGATTTTCAATAAAAAAAATACGCTAAAATTAAGCTATGGTTGCACTGATAAACAAGAAAGAATTCTAAAAAACATTCTACAATTGTAAATAAACACTTAAACCTAAATAAAAGTAATAGTAATTCCAAAGCGAAAATCAATAATATTGATAATAAATTATGTAATTGTAGAAATCCCATAAATTTCCCATTGCAAAATGTCTTACTGAGTCTATTGTTTATCAATGCACTATTTTATCTAATGAAAACCCAGATGTTAAGAAATTTTATATTGGAAGCACAAAAAACTTTTAAACGAAGGTGGTATCAACATATTTCTTCTTTTAACAATACGTACCATAATCGAACGCACTCTCTAAATTTTTTTGGTATTTAAAAGAAATCAATAAAACTCCCAAAGTAAAATGGAAAATATTAAAAAAAAAAAAAGAGGAGAATTTGTAAGTCCTTAAATGACCCATGTTCCATGTATGTACATGAAAAACTGCATATTATCAAGTGTCCTAAAAATAATGATCTGTTAAATCAGCGGAATGAACTAACTATAATATTGTACAATGTTTACTTTAACATTTATTTAATAGATTTTTTCATAAAATATATCTATATATTACAATTATATATACATTTTTTATTATATATAATGGTAAATATAATATTTATTTGATTCCTTGATTTTTAATTTTAATATTGCCATGTCATATGCCCCACTGAATATAATAAGTATTGTATTTTAGGATCAAAATAATATAACACATAAAATGATTTAATCAAACTAGGGCCCATTTAAGATAGTTCTAAAGTATATACAAAATATTTTTTAAATCCTAAAACTAGCAAATTTGATATTATATATATATATATATATATATATATATATATATATATATATATATATATATATATATATGATTATTTCATTGTATCTTAAAATTATATTCTTAATCGCATATAATGGCGACATGTTTTAAAAATAGCAGTTCATTTAGACATGTATGAAGGTATGGAGGTACTTATACATATATATAGGTTCCTCCAAACAAAAACGATACCTAAGGTTTAAAATGTATTTTTTAAAATGAAAAGTCGTTCTTGAAGATTTCATTTTAGTTTTTATTTAAAGCAAATTGAGTGAATGTAATATTTCAAAGAAGCTATATACTTTGCTGTATTTCAAACTGAATTTAAAAATAATTTGATTCGAATGAGTTCTTCTTTTTTTTTTTTTGTATTATCCGTAAAAACTGAAACATCGCCATTATTGACAAATCTCCCAACAAAACGTAATTTCCTTTATTAAAAAAAATAAAATACACTTTTCCGAAATTTTATTTGGGGAAAATTACTCGAATTAGAATTTAATTTAACTGAATTAAAACGACTATTATTTTCTTTTAGCTTAAAATGTCGCAGAAAAGCATTTATACCACGAAAGTAGGTGTTTGCTCATGCGTACAATTTATTCGACAGACTTACGTTGGGAATTTTTTCTAAGAGGGACATAACTGTAACAATTACTCGAATATAACTTGAACACATTTTTTATATAATTTTTTAACTCTCCAGTAATCTTTAAAATTTAAGAAAATATTCTAAGCATTTTAATATTTTATTGGTTTTAGATACTTGGCTTTAGTATCTAACTTACAAAGACGCTTTTTCAGGAAATGTTGGAAAACTAATAAAATTTTAAATAGTTTTAAACTTGCTATAATAACCGCCCTTATTTTCTGATAATTTCGCGTTTGGACAGTCGTATTTACAAAAGTCGACACATTTATACACAAAAAAATAAACACAAAGTTCTTTTTTAAAATATTAGATATCATCCAATTGTAGTGAGATTTTCTGTTTATGAATAGTAAATACTGTTTTAATTTAATGACAATATCACTTGACCGCTACAAATTAATACAGCTTTTTAATTAGATCTAAATGCTTAAAAATTACTTTTTGCAAAAATATACAAATCAGTGTGTTTTTCACCGCAAAAAGACGATAAAATTCCGAATACAAATTTATGGTCCCCGGCTGACGCAAGAAAAAAAAAAATTTTTAACCAAATTTTCGAAGGTTCTAAAAAGAATAAAAAAATATATTTTAATAATCAAAAATGCTTTGGACTTTCCTCTTAATAATAACAAAAGATCTTTGACTATAAGGTTTGTTTTTTCATCAAGTATGCTAACTTTTTGTCACTCTTTGGAGGGAGATATATATCATGGTTTTCATAGATAGATAGATAGATAGATAGATAGATAGATAGATAGATAGATAGATAGATATGTCCAGAAATGAAAAGGGATAGATAGATAGATAGATAGATAGATAGATAGATAGATAGATAGATAGATAGATAGATAGATATGTCCAGAATGAGATAGATAGATAGATAGATAGATAGATAGATAGATAGATAGATAGATAGATATGACCAATAAGTAATCAAAAACCATTTGGTCTTTCATCTTAATAACAGAAAGATTTTGAAGACAAAGTTTA